TTCTATGGGCATATTTTGGAATGTATTTACATGGGATCAACAGGATTATTTTTATTTATCTGAATATTGCTAGGTGAGATAAAAATATACCAATTTTTCGCCTTTCCCCCCTCCAAAAAAAGCAGCAGCAGCAATGGGTAGTTTATTCATCACTTAATAATACCTCATTTCTATTTGGCAACTAAAATTAGGATAAAAAAATATCCCCAGCGCTTCTCAATTAATTCTAGGAAAATGAAATTCACTTGTATTTTATTTTCTCATCCCTCACTTATTTTGCATCTAGAGCCAACAGGTAAAATCCTCACCTGATACAGTCCTTTAACTGAGAGATGAGGATCTTGTAATTATTTTTGTAAAATCCCCTTTTTCAAAAGTAAGTAATTTGCTGTTAATGTCATCTTCTGTGCTGGGCTTCTGGGAGGAGTAGGTGCTGCTGCAGACTTTCATAGGGCATGCCTATACAAGGCAACTATTTCAAAATAATTAAAATCAATTTAACAACTCCTGAAATAACAAAATTGAAATAGCGTGTCCTCACTATGGGGAAGCTTGAAATTAGTCTGAGGCAGGCCCCGTTAATGTGGATGCGCTACCTCAACTTAGAGCCCCAGGAAGCATTGGGGAGTAATTTGTTTGGACTACTCTGAGATGGTAGTTATTTCGAAATAGCAGAACCGCACTACTGCTATTTCGAAATAACTACTTTGAAATTAGTGTTATTCCTTGAGGAAAGCCGGGAGTACAGATTTTGAAATAAGCAGCTCATTATTTCAAAACAACAGGCTTAGTAGTGTGGATGCTCTGCTTATTAATTCGACCTAAGGGGGTTATTTTGGAATAAAGCCCTAGTATAGACCAGGGTATAGGGAGGAAACTGACAGGAGCCCACACTCTGAAATTCAGGTGATTGGCTCTCAGGTAAGTGGAACATCCATTTAGTTGGGAGAATGTCTATATAACATTTTCTGGAATGTGTTTTAATTATTCTAAATAAGAGATGCCACATTATGTCTAAAATTGTTTATATTTTCTGTGTTTTTATGTTTACACAATACATTGTACATGTATTTCTATAGCATGTTTTACAGTGTATGGAAGTTAAAAGATGTGAAATTAATGTTAGCTGGCATATCTCCTGCTTTGCAATCCTTTTTTTTTTTGCTTAAGGCAGCTATTTTGCTCTGTTATATATGCTACACAGGAGCCATTTCATTATACTGTCTTTGAAATGTTTTACTGCTTTGTACAATGTTTGGGACAAATGCTAAGAGGTGTTGAACACTTATACCTTCCACTGATTTCAATGAGTGTTTTGTTTAAGAGCCAAGTACAGTCTTTAGGTTTATGGACCCTTACACTCCCCCCTCAGATAAATAATTTAAACAAATAAATAACTCTCAGTATATTGTATTCCTCACAGGGAGGAATTAAAACCAGCTGACAGAGGGTTTTTGAGTGATCTGGAAAATGAATCTGAACTGAAAACATCAGAGTCTCATTGTATGTGAGCTGGAACCAAGCCCCCAAAACCAAAAACTTGTAACACATTCAAATTTCCAGGTTCAACAATTGGGCACTGAGGGAGGGTCTTTTGGGTGTGCTGAGGGTCTCTTCTCTGCTCCACTCCAGAGGAAAGCAGGGTGGGGGAAACTAAACTATCTGGGCAGCCATTGAAAGAGATTAGAGAAAGGGGATAGACAGGTTCTGGGATTGGTAGTTACCTTGTCTGTTTTGACCAGGTAAAGGACTGCCCAGAGAAGGGAACTACAACTCCCAAAACACTTCCTTCCCCCCTCCCCCGCACTAAGGGCTTACTCCTTTGCAAAACAATGGAGAGAGGGCATTTTGTGTGCTGAAATTCAATTTGTCATTTCAGTGATTAAATATGACTGAGTTCTGAAGGATGTTTTAGGAGTGTGCGCAAATAATTTGTTTAAACAAATATTTTTGACAGTGAAAAAATATGTATCATTATATTCTTTTACTCAATGTTACAAAGCAAACAGAAGAGTGTCCAACTAATCTGCAGGAAATGTATGTGAACTAGCTCAAACAAGTTCAAAGTGGTTAAAATGGCCATTGAATCATTACTCTAACCTACTGTATGAACCTGAACCAAACCAGAGTTAGTACATGTTGATGAACTTGAACCAAAATGGAACCACAATTTTCAACAGTTCAACTTCTGATTACTGTACTCAGAAAGTTAGCTTAAATGGTACATTTCTGTTTCCCCTGGGAGGAAGCAATAGTGTGGATTTTAATTAAATATTTCCCCTTCCCATACTCTTAGCTGTTTTAAATATTCTAAAATATGAATTAATTTCTGTTTACATTAGCATTAATGTAGTCATAAAATAAAGAGCACGTATAGCACCCGGGGATGCCTGCATTTCATCAATTAAAGTAAGTGTACAATACACCAAATAGTTGTTTGGTTTAACTTGCAGTGATTTATAATAATTGAAAATATTGAAAGGATACAGTATAACCTGCCATTGTTCAAAATTCCTGACATCTACCCTCCTGACTAAATTTAATGTCTTATCAATTTGGCATACAATATGAATACACTTTTTGCATTTATGGTAATTGCTCTATACTGTGCTAATGACAAACAGATGGAATCATCTAGCTCTTTCTATGGGGTTCAAGGAAGACAACATTCAGCATTATATCAGCAACTTAACATTGGCATGGGACCCTGAGGAAATTTGGGAAGAAAGAAGGTATTTTATAGCTAGTGTTACTGCATTATATTCACAAATTAAGCAATTACTGTAGTAAAATATTTCAGAACAGTTACTATTAAAAATTCATATATCGGGAGAGCAGCACATTTTCCCAAAATCAAAACAGTCTTCTGTCATACAGCCTGTTTCTGTTTACTCTGTTACCCTTGATTTATAGTTTGGGCTGTATTCATACACCATTTATATAGGAGCTACAAAATGCCGACTTAATTAAACTAACAATTATTTAGAAGCAAGCAATTTTGGACAATTGGGGAGATCATGCAGACCACCCAGTGGCAGTTTCAGCAGACATGGGTCAGACATATGCCATGTTTGACATTAAAATATCAGTATTTCACATCATTTAACACACAGTGGTATTGAAGACTACAATTTCCCTCTGTGAACTGTGTTGTGATGGAAAATGTGGATTTTTAATGCCTTCTGCTGTAGCATGCCATTTGTCTAAGCAACTATATGTGACCTGGTCTATCATCCTACCTAAATGTAATGTCTTATTAATCTTACATACACTAGGGATAATACTTTTTGCACCTTTGGTAATTTGCCCATTTTCCATTACACAAAAATAGCTGTCCTGTCTCTCTCCTGCGTACTATGTACCTTTCACTACCTATTCACACTGTTCAAGCCAATGGAAATACTGATGCTTATTTTACCCACTTTCTCTTTCTGCTATAACCAAAAATCTTACTATTGTAGCCTGTGTAGATTTTCTTCTCTGCTTAGCAGGTGCTAAGGACATTTTGCTGAGAAAATAAGCAAGAGGAGAAAACACTCTTTAACGTAAGGTAGAAACTAAGTGGTACTCTGCAGCTGTGTTTAGTTTATTTGTTTAGAGAGCTAGGAAACAAAATAAAAACTAGCATTTATGCTTGTGTTAACAGCTCACAAAACAAGAAATTAACATTTAACCTGAATCACAATATAGCAAACCGATCTCCAAACATTTATTTTAGAGAAAAAGCATCAAGGACCAAATCTTGTTTCCACTGAAGCTAAGACAAGTTTTGATTTAATGGTAAACATTAATAATTGCTTCCCTCCTCCCCCCATCCCAAATATAATAGAAGGTCTCTACTGCAAAATAGGCTCAATGTCTGCAATGAAAAAAATGTAGGTATACAACTGTGTATGCATCTTTTTGCACAATCAGAGTGTGTACATAAAGTCTCAATATTAACGCCTTAAAACACCCATCCTGTGTCTGGCTGATCCAGAGCATAGTGGAATCACTGGAATTGATTCTATTGACTTCAGTGGACAAAGCAGTAGTATATACATTGGAAAAGAATGGCTTGAAACTCGTTCATTTCTCTAAGACCAGAGGATACTCTAGAACACAGTCTATGTCCACCCTGTGAAAAAACAAAGTGGGGGCAGCGGTGCCAGACTGATGCTTTTCTAAATGACTCTGAACATTTACTATCCAGAAACAACATCATCTGTTTGGTGTGATTATGACTGACAATAATGAAAACACTCACTGGCCTGCATTCTGTGGCCTGCTACATCAATGCCAAGAGGATAAAAATGTAACAAAAATTACCAAAAGAACATTCCTCTTGTACTGAGGAATGCTTCACTGACAAAGCCGGCAGAGGTTGTGCAGACCCACACTCATGCATAGATCATGTTGGAAGAGAAGGGGAGTGTTTCAGAAGTGGTCAAGAGCTATGCCAGAGCAGAGCTCAATTACAGTGATCCTCCATTAATGTGAAATCATTCGGGGACCTTATATTAGAGGTCTTAGCTAGAGCTTCTCCTCTGAAAATATTTCCCTGTTGTTCCTATTTCCTAACTACTGCACACTTCCCTATCTGTTCTTAATATGTGAGCTCCTCTGAGCACAGAGCACTTTCCTTGATTGTCTAGGAAGTGCACAGAATACAATGGTTGTGACCATAATTGCTAACTTCTAGTCATGTACTCCAACCACCAGGGATTGTGGAGCTGATTTCCTCTCTTGAAGGCCACTGTTACTTACATTATTCACTTACACTGGTCTAACTCTATTAATTTCAATGGAGGAACTTCTGATTTGCACCAGTGTAAGTCAGAATCCAGTCAGGGCCCCACATCTCCTCAGTGTGTAGTATGCAAACAACATTTACTCTTTGGTTTTAATGCTTATTCTTTGAGTATTTGCATATATCATTCTAATCAGCACACCCTTCTCTATTACCTCTATTTGCCAATTTCTTGCAGCAGAACATTTAGATGTTGAGTTTGGTCACTCACCCATAATGTGTAGGATCCCCTGCGACTGCCTGGAAAAGTCAGCATGCTCTGATCTGAAACAGCAACAGATGCCAGACCATTGCTCCTGGACTCCAGCCAATCAAAATCAGCCTCTGGCTGCTCAGTTTTACTTTTTTGCTTTCTTATAATCTAGAGGGTTGAAATTAAAAAAAAATTATTGGAATGTACCGCTAGAGCCATAGTACACAAGAGAGTTAAGGGAAGTCATTATCTGATATCTGTAGGAACACTGGAGTGGATATAAAACAATATGGAAATCTATACCCCACCAACGATATTTATAATGTGATCTGTATCTGGGAGCCAAGTATATATTTTCTATGAAAAAGAATGCATAACTAGACAAATATTGGTATGGAATCATAGAATAAATGCTCAGGATTGATTTCAAAAGCACACCTAACTCCTATTGAATTTAATGGGAGTTAGGTGCTTAAGCACCATTTTCTTAGATTCACAGATAGATTCTCAGGTTAGGAGGGACCACTGCGTTCATTTAGTTTGCTTTCCTGCATACTACAGGAACTTTCCTGGATGTAGTCCTGTTTGAACAAGAACATATGTTTTAGAATAACATCTAATCTTGACATAAAAATTGCCATTGATGGAAAAACTACTTCAAACCTTGGTAAATTGTTCCAATCGTTAATTACTTTCAGAGTTAAAGTTTACAGCTTATTTCCAGTTTGAATTTACCTAAGCAGTGTTCAACAATTGGTTTTTGTTATACCTTTGTCTGCTTGACTGAAAAGCCCATTAACTAATATTTGTTCCTCATGCCAGTACTTCAAGACTATAATCAAGTCACAACTTAAACTTTTCTTTGGTAAGCATAATTGTTTGATCTCCTTGAGTGTAGTACTGTGAGGCAAGATTTCAATTTCTTTAATCATTCTCATGGATGTCTCTGAATCCTTTCCAACATCTTTCTTGAATTGTAGATGCCAAACTAGACACAATAGTCCAGCAGTAGTTGCACCAGTGCCAAATGTAGAGAGAAAATAACCTCTCTACTCCTATTTGAGGTTCCTCTGTATATGCATCCAAAGAACTCACTGGCCCTTTTGGCCAGAACAGTGGACTAGGAGCACATGTTCAGCTCATTTTCCACCATGACCTTCATCCTATAAGTCGGGTCTGTGTTCTTAAATGTAGATATTTATATTTAGCCATATTGAAATGCATATTGTTTACTTGAATCCAATTTATCAAACGATCCAGATTGCTGTGTCTTGGGGACTTTTCCTGTCCATTATTTACCTCTCCCCTATATATTTTTTGTCATCTCCAAAATTTATCAGTGATGATTCTATGTTTTCTTCCAGGTCATTGATACCAATGTCATCTACTGTGAGGACAAGAATTGATCCCTGCAAGACCCCTCTGGAAATATATCTGCTTAATGCTGACTCCCCATTTACAATTACATTTTGTGACATAACAGCCAGTTTTTAATCCATTTACTGTGTGCCATGTTAATTATAAAAACTAAAACATTGTAATAAAAACGCTATGTGGTACCAAGCCAATGCCTTATAGAAGCTAAGTATATTACATCAATCCTATCACCTTTATAACCCAAACTTGAAATCTTACCAAAAAAAAAGATGCCAAGTTAGTTTAACAGGTTCTATTTTCCATAAACCTGTGTTGATTTGAATTACTTATTTTACCCTCCTTCAGTTCTTTAATCAAGTCTTGTGATTGGGATCAATATGAGACTAACAGGATGGTAACTGCCATCGTCCCATTTACTATTTTAAAATACTGATACAACATTAGCTTTCTTCAGTCTCCTGGTATTTCCACAACATTCCACAAGTTTTGCAAATCAATAATAACAGTAAACACGTCTTTTAGCTGCCTTTTTTTAAAACTCTTGGAAAGTTGTCTGGACATGCTGATTTTAAAATGTTCAATTTTAACAGCTGCTGTTTAACACCTTCTTGAGTGGAAAAGAATCACCAATTGGTATGACCACATCAATGAATATTGGCATTCTGTATTTGGAGAAAAGCAGATGAACACTTTGACCTGTTTCACATTATTATTGACAATTCTACCATTTTTATTTAGTTGTGGATCAATACCATAATTAGGATTCCTTTTGTTTCTAATCTACTTTTTAAATCACTTTGTTTGGGTCCTTAATTCTTCTAGCCACTGATTTTCCCCTGTGTTCTTTTGCTTTCCCTATTACTTGTCTGTAATTGCTAGCTTCTGATTTATATTCATTGCCATGAACTTCCTCTTTCATTCATTTGTTAAACATATTTTTATAGCTACCTCCATTTCTCATCTAAGTGCTTGAAAATCTACTCCAACTACAGACAATAAAAGATAGAGTAGATTATCAAATCCATCTACTTGCCAGTGTAGGACAGTTTTCTGTAATATCTGAGCTTGATGAAATATTTTTGTATACAAATTCACTGAAGAGATTCAGCCAGAAGTTTTTATTTTCAGGCTAGATTCACAAAGGCACTTAGATGCTATTCATAAAACAGCAAGAGGAATAGGATATGTCTTGTTACCCTATTACCCAGTGGTTAGGGCACTCACCCACAATAGGCAGCCCCCAAATAGGCAGAGTAGGTATCCGAATCCCAGTCTACACCTTCCAGGTGAATGCTTCAGACACAAGGCTACAAAGGAGAACACTCCTTCCCCCTGCCCTCATTCCTCCAATGACATTTCCAAATCTCCCTTCTTTAAAAAGCAGCTAAAAGGTCCTAAAATCAAAACAACATGTTTCATTTGACCCCCAAATGAAATGTTTGGCACTTTGTTTTACCAAGAAAATTGGAAATGTTTTGTTTCAGATTGCTCCAAATCTTTCCCCCTCCTGATTACTCAAACAGCTCTATGTAATGTACATGTGTGCTTTTCACTCTTTGATTTGTAACAGTCTAGGAAATTAGTCCAGAGTGAAACAAATCTCATCATCAGGCATCTACTGACAACTTGCCAACAGTTCCAATTTGGCTGGGATGGTCCAGGAGAAACAGCCTTTTAACCAGTTTCCTAGGAGCAGCTGTAGCAGGAGGCAGGATATTTTCCATTGAGCTTTTCCTCTTCTGGATATTCTTTTCATCCACACATGCATGTTCAATCATTTTATGATAAGTTTCATCTTATGTTAGTTAAATAAAACCTTGCTAAACCTCAGGACTGTCTTCTAGCCATTTAATGTGCCAAAGAATACAATCTGCAACAGTGAAGCTGCATAACATACCTTCTGCACTATGGTAGTGGCAAGCTCTTCAATCAGCTCCTCCTTATGTTCCCGTAAGTAACAAGCCTCATTCTGTTTGTCCTGCACCAAGATGAACATTTATATACACTACAGAGTCATACATAAATGACACTTTTACAAGATCAAGAAAAATGAGTAACATCCTAGTTGGCATTGTATGCAGAAACAACTGAATGTAGTAAACGCTCTGTTATCTGACACTCAGGCTGTGTCTAGACTACATGCCTCTGTCGTCAGAGGTATGTAGCTTAGACACATAGGCAAAGTCAAATGAAGCCATGATTTAAATGATCGCAGCTTCATTTAAATTTATATGGCTGCCGCGCTGAGCCGACAAACAGCTGATCGCTGTTGTAAATTTAAATGAAGCGGCGATTATTTAAATTGCCGCTTCATTTTCCTATGCCTGGTAGCCTAATCTACATGCCTCTGGCGACAGAGGCATGTAGTAAGGGCTTTGATGTCGGCAGGGGAGCGTCCAGACTAGTGCGCTGAGCGGACAAACAGCTGATCAGCTGTTTGTCGGCTCAGCGCGGCAGCCATGTAAATTTAAATGAAGCTGCAATCATTTAAATCGTGGCTTCATTTGACTTTGCCAAAACAACAAATCTACATGGCTCCGTCGACGGAGCCATGTAGTTTAGACGTACCCTCAGTCAACCAGAAAGCTCAATTAACCAACATTTCTGATATCAATACAAATCTTCAATATAATATCCAGAATTAGTATACAGCATATAATGCAACTGCACATTTTGCATGCTACTTTTATGCAAAAGAGGCAGAAGACAAGTAAGCAAGCAAGCAAGCTGAAATCAGGAATTCATTAAAAAAAATCAGCTTCTAGGTATGTCATAGGGCCATTACAGATTCAGCCCCATCTCCTACACCTTCTATGTCTACAATGAGAATTGATGTTGATAATGATGACCCTGAAGCGCTGCAAGATCCTGAAGTGCCTGCTGAATCAAAAACAATTAATTATGTTCAGAATAGTTGTAGTGTTACGGGTAATTTTAGTGATCTGGGTGTACATCATACGCTGCTCCATAGTAGTATGTAGTGTCATAAAATAACCTACTGGATAGAAAGCTTTGTCTACATCTAAGTGCTTCAAGAAACAAACAACCATGCTGCAGTGGACTACTACTGGATTGATGAAAACCTGTGTATTATTTTATACTTTACTCATTTTATTGTATACTAATTCTTTGAACATTGGTATTCCAGTGGTGAAGCATGATTTTCAGTTAACCACAATATTCAATTAACTGGCTCCCCCCATTCACAGATTCATGGATAACAGAGCTTTTACCATAACTAATTCATTTTACTATCCTGTATTTCTGAAGTGGAACATACACGTGATAATAACGTTCAGAGAAACAGCATACATTATCTTACTGCATTATGTTTTCTTTGATTTTCATTCACATTTCCACTGCTACTTGAATAAAGAAAACACTGATATCTACATCTATATCAACAAATCTGCTAGTTAATTTTTTTTTTACCAGGCTTTCACCATATGTCTCTGCCTTGGAAATGGCTTCTTCTACTGCTTCTTCTGCCACACGTAAGGCCACAGCTAGGGTATCCATCATACTATGTCCTAGTCAAAAAGCAAACAAAATACCCACATTTATGCTGAACTGCAAAATTCAGACCAAGATTCTTCAGCTTCAGCAATTCTTAGATCTAGAATTTTGGTACAATCTACTGCAGAAATGCAACGTGAGGCCTCACTCCAAAGCTGATCAAGATGCATAGGAACATAAGAATGGCCTTATTGGATCACACCAATGGTCCGTCTAGCCTAGAATCCTGTCTTTAAAAAGTGGTTGATGCCAGATGCTTCTGAGGGAATTAACACAACAGGGCAATTATTGAGAGAGCCATCCCCCATTGCCCACTTCCAGCTTCTAGCAGTCTCAAATTCAGGGACACTCAGAGCATGAAGTTCTGTTTCTGACCACCGGGGCTACTGGCTATTAATGGACCTGTCCTCCACAAACTACTCTAACTCTTTTTGAAACCCAATTATATTTTTAGTCTTCACTGTTCTTCTGGAAATGAGATCCAGCGGCTTTGTGTGTGTTCTGTGAAGAAGTACTTCCATGTGCTTCTTTTAAACCTATTGCCTATTAATTTCATCAGGTGACCTAATTCTTGTGTTAAGAGAAGGGGTAAATAACACTTTTATTCACTTTCTCCACACTCTTTATGATTTTCTAAACCTCTATCATATCCTTTCTTAGGCTTTTCATTTCTAACTGAACAATCTGAGCCTTTTAAATCTCTTCTTCTATCGAATCTGTTCCGTACAACTTATCAATAGTGTTGCTTTAGCCTATCCCTCAAATCAGCCAGTTTCCCCAGTACTAAAGTTAGGCTCACCAGCTATAGTTGCCAGGATCATCCCTGGAGCCCCGTTAAAAAAAAAAAAAGAATTACATTAGTTATGCTTCAGTCATCTGGAAGAGTGGCTGATTTAAGAGCTAGATTAATACAACAGTTAGTAATTTTGCAAATTCATATCTGAGTTACTTCAGCACTCTTGGGTGAACATCATCTGGTCCTACTGACTTATTAGTGTAAAATTTATCAATTTGTTTGAAAGCCTCCTCTATTGACATTTCAATCTGGGACAGTTTCTCAGATTTGTCACCTGCAAAGAATGGCTTAGGTGTAGCAATCTCCTTCCCATCTTCTGCAGTGAAGACAAATGCAAAAAATTCATTTAGCTTCTCTGCGATGGCCTTGTCTTCTCTGAGTGCTCATTTAAAGCCTCAATCATCCAATGGCCCCTGACTAGGAGGCTTCGTGCTTCTGATATACTTTAAACAAATGTTGCTGTTTGTTTTTGTACCTTTTGCTATTTGCTTTTCAAATTCTTTTTTTGGCTGACTAATTATATTTTACTCTTGACTTGCCAGAGTTTATGTTCCATTCTATTTTCCTCAGTAGGATCTGATTTCAAATTTTTGAATGCTTGCAGGCATTTCACTCTTGTGACTGTTCTTTTTATTTTCTGTTTAACTGGCTTCCTCATTTCTGTGTAGTTCCCAATTCTGAAGTTAAATGCTACTGTAGTGGGTTTCATTGTTATTTTTCCTCCAAAAGGCTATTCAATTTAATCGCATTATGGTCGCTTTTACCAAGCAGTTCAGCTTAATTCATCTCTTGGACCAGATCTGGTGCTCCACTTAGGCCTAATCAAGAAATGCCCCTCCCTTTATGTGTTCCATATTGAAGTGAATGCATAATAGGCAAGATGTAAAACAGATAGGCTATGTCTACACTGGCAGCTTCTTGCGCAAGAACTGTTTTGCAGAAGAGTTCTTGTGCCAAAAGTCTTCCACAAGAGTGCGTCTACACTGGCATGTGGTTTTGCGCAAGAGCATCTATGGCAGTGGGGACGCTCTCTTTCGCAAGAAAGCTCTGATGGCTAGTTTAGCCATAGGGGTTTCTTGCACAAGAAATTCATGTTGCCTGTCTACACTGTCCTTTTGCGCAAGAGCTCTTGCACAAGAGGGCTTATTCCTCACGGGGAGAGGAATAACTCTTCCAGAAGAAGCCCTGTTTTCCGATGCTAGACTGTAAATTTACTTGTGCAAGAACGCATGTACAGTGTAGACATCTGGAAAGTTTTTGCACAGGAACAGCTGTTCTTGAGCAAGAAGCCGCCAGTGTAGACGTAGCCATAAAGTCTAGCATTTGCCCTGTGAACCCAGAAACTCTGGTAATTTGCTAAAGGTTTTAACTAAAAGATAAGTGATCCTTGACACTTTTCATAATCAGGCACCAATGCGATTTGGAGGATCTCCAGCACTGTATGCTATTTATCGAATAACTCAATCAGTAGCAGCTCAGTTTTAGAACAAATGAGTTTTAACTAGAGTTACCTTCTGTCTGTCTGTAGAAAGTAGAGTCACTGCCACAAACGCTTCCTTCATTTTCTACGCTTCCTTCAAAAAAGCTTCCTTCTCCTCAAAAAGACAGTAAAACACATATTATGTATGAATGCTCAATATATTATTAGGTTAAAGTACACTTTCAAAAAGTAGTGTTGTTTCTAACTACACCACATGCATAGAGGAGTAGTTTGAAAATTCTTGTTTGAATTCCAGCTGTTATACAAAATGTTATTGCTTTTAAATGAAAGATTTCTCAAATAGGGCTTGTAAATCATGTGTGGAGAAAACTGCTTGTGAAGTGAGAGAGAGGATGAGGTGCCTTAAATGCAGACCTTGTAAAATGAAAGCAACTGCAGTGAGCTTGCTTTTAACATGACATTTAGGGCTTGAAACAGGCCACTCCTGTATAAATAAAACAAACCCAGACATTTAAACCTGTACTGATCTTCAAATGAAAAGAGAGGGTTATCTTACAGTCACACTGAAAATAGAAAAAGAAAGTTAGCAATGGCATTTGGATGCTGAGGTTCTTCAGAAAGGTCTCCTGTATCTTGCACATCCTTTCTTGTGTTTCCTGCACATTCTCTCTTATGACAGCAGTCTTGTTTAAAGGCATAATTGTATTAGACTATTCTCGAGAATAAGGAATGCTTAGTTTTTGCGAGATCAATTTTATAACTTTTAAATTTTCTGCATATATTTCAATTAATTTTTTAATTCCACTTGCATAACACCCACTAAATGTAGCATAACCACTTTTATCTTTACATTCCATTTTTTAATTTTTTAAAATTTGATAAGGAGAAAAAAGCAAAAAGCAACCTATCAAAATGGAATATTTTAGGACAATTCTCCTGTCCTTACCTACATACTTCTAAATAGTATAAGAAGAACTACCAAGAGTTGCCTTCACCAAAAGGGACACAGTCTATTATGTTTGTTTTCCAAGTGGGAGGGAGGGAGAGAGAGAAAGAAAGAAAGAGAAAGAGGAAAAAAGGAAAATACAAATCCTGTAGAAAACACAAACTCTGTACAGATTTCAAAAGAATTACAATAGGGTTGAATTTGGCCCAGCAGAGGCAAATCATCTCAGAAAGACTAGACTGGTTCTGCTTCTGAATTATTTGCTAATCAATTACAGTAAATGGGCCAGCAAGATAGCAAGGAAGCAATGTCCCCAAACTCGCGGAATATCTTCACTTACTAGTTTTATGGGGAGATGCTGATATTGATAGTAAAATGTCCACATTTTATAGAATCATAGATGATTATGGTAGGAAGAGACCTGAGGAGGTCATCTAGTGCAACCCCAACCTCCTGCCCAGAGCAGGATCAACTCCAACTCAATCGTTCCAGCCAGCATTTTGTTAAGCCTGGCCGTACAAACCTCTAAGGATCGAGGTTCCACTCCCCTCTTTAGGCATTTACCCATTCCAGAGCTTCACCACCCTCCTAGTCATGGTTGGCGGGTATCAGAGGCAACCTTCCCAAACTGCCAGGTGTGGCCCTACCCACACTCCGCTCCTAGGCTCACCCACTTCAGTGCAGCTCCCTCCACTCAGGGCTGCCTCGGCTTCAGCTGCGCTAAGGCTGGGACTGCCACTCTCCCTATGCCCGGAGAGGCTGGGGTTGCCTGCCCTCCCGGTACTCCAGAGTCAGGAAGCCTGAGGGCAGTGTGCGTGCCACCCACCCTCTCGCTGCTCCGGGGCTGCAGAGGCTGAGGCTATGCGCCATCTACTCTCCCCACGTTGGAGGGCTGGGAAGATCGGTTGCTGTGTGCAGCCTATTCTCCCATTGCTCTAGCGCTGGGAAGGCAGGGGCTGCATGCCACCCACCTTTGCAGTGCGGAAGGGCCAGGAACGCTGGGGCTGTACACCATCAACTTGGCACTCAGGTATCAAGAATGGAACTTGGAGATCACCTCTCCCCCCCACCAGCCCTTGGTTCACCCCTCCCAATGCTCCTAGTAAAATAGTTTAATGTAAAATCCAAGCTAGACTTCCCCCACTGCAACTTGAGGCTCCTTGGTCTGCCATCTGCCACCACTGAGTACACCCTTTAGATAGTTGATGGCTCAGGCTGTTAGCAAATCCCTCCTCATTCTTCTCTTCTGCAGATTAAATAAACCCAGATCCCTCCGCCTCTCCTCATAAGCCATATGCCCCAGTCTCCTAATAATTTTTCTTGCCCTCCACTGGACTCTTTCCAATTTGCCCACCCTCACCAGTGCCAAATAGAGGAGAATAATCACTTCTCTCGATCTGCTGGTACTAATGCAGCCCAATATGTCATTAGCTTTCATGGCAACAAGGCCACACAGTTGACTCATATCCATCTTCTTGTTCACTATGATCCCTAGGTCCTTTTCAGCACAACTGTTGTTTAGCTAGCTAGTCCCCAGCCTGCATCAGTGCATGGAATTTTTCCATCCTAAGTACAGGACTCTGCCCTTGTCCTTGTTCTTCTCCATTTACTTGAGAAACGTAAAATGTTAGCTGCCACTGCAGTGCACATGGGGCCAAATTCTACGGCAAACAGAAAAAAACTCCAACTAAGGTATGGAATGCAGGATTTGGCCTTCATTAGTCAAATTTTGCAAAAAGTGCAATGGAAAACTTCAACTCCAAAATTCAGTTCTAATTCATTATCTGTACAGACCTTTTGGAGCCCTAAGCTCATACACACAGAGCAGAAACTGAGCTGAGATTTGCTTTGTACATCCGAGAGCAGAATTTTGTCTTAACAAATGTAAATTTGGATACTCTTAACTAGCTCAAACTTAGCCCAACTCTCTAGATATTTAACTCCTTATATTCCTCTACTGTAATACTTCAGAAAAATTGTAATTTTCTTTTTTCTCCATCACGTGAGTTATGTGGATGAGCCTATAAGAAATTAAAACTGTACTGTACCTATTATTTCAGAACAAGCTCCACTCTCCAGTCTATGTTTTCTGTATAAATTCTTCAGTACTTTGGCACTACCAAAACGTTTGAAGCGACTTTTCACATTATTGTAATACCATTCCAGCGACTGAGTCCTTAGGAGTCTAAAAGAACAAATGAACAACATTTCAGAATGCTTAGAATGATTCTACATCAAATGAAAACAAATGATTGACCCGGTCCTTCTAAAAATTATATCTCCTGATCTCTTAAATCAAAAGCCTTAAAGCATAATATTTTTGTTTAGGAACACAGTTTCTTGGTTTTAGCTTGAAGAAATTTGTTTTTATGGCAAAATAAGTACTGTACTGGAAATGTTGCTAGATCATTCTAATTACAGTAGTAATTTGTTTTGTTACCATATCAAAATAATTTATTATATATTTTAACACTTGTATCAAATGCATTTTGAAAGGCCACCCACGGTATTATAGAACAACATATGAGTGTATTGTTTTAAAAGATTTTAATATTTACAAGGATTTATAACTAACTGTTATTTCCATAGTGGGTTAAGACATTATAAGGCATGCAGTGCTCTCTTTCTCTCTTTGATTAAAATTTTTTTAAATATATTGTTTCCGAACGTACATCATCCAAACATTTACATAAAAGAGCTCGTTTCAAGCAATCAGCAATGGGAAGAAAATTTTACTGGAAAACATTTAAAGTTGCAGTTTGGTTCAAAGTCTCCAATTAATAAAGTGAAAGTGCCATCATAATGGAATGTGTAAGAGTAAAAACTGTGAGGACAAGCAGTCAGAAGACAGTGTAAAATTCTAAATCTTTTCTCAAATATCAACATGGAAACCACATTTAGCTCTGAATGGGGAAAACAATAACAAAAAGAAGCCAACCTTATGCTCTCTTTGGGTAAACTGTTCCAAATCCCATTGAATGGGAAGACTCCTAGAGACTGCAGTGGGCTTTGAATTAGGTCCCCAAAGACCAAGATGATGAGGCAAGCTATTATCAGGCCCTTTTATGATTACATTTTATTATGGGGCCACCAGCTAATGGACCCTTGCTTAGAAACCTTGTCACATGTGTAAGCAAGGGTGCAGGGCTAGCAGCAGAAAGTCTGCTCAGAGGGATTGTGGGCAGCACACAGCTGACTGGCATAGTCCCAGAAATGGGTACCACATGGAAAGGACTTTGTGAATCCCTAGCTGTAACTTAAAGCTGACCTACCCCAGGAAAGAAAAGCAGTGTTTGCACTAATGGGTCTGAATCAATTTTTTTATGTTCCTTTCACAAATTGATCTGACTTACTCTGTTGTATACTGTCACGAGTTTATTTTATGTTATGCTGCACCTACTTACATCAAGTCAGATCACATGCAGACAAGTGACTGTATATTCTGATGTGACACAGTATAGCATGGATGCAAATGCGACAGTTTTCCTCCCCATGTAATAATGTTTTTCAATTACTAAAGTGGGAGGATCAAATCTCATACAAAGTAGAAGACAAGGAGTTTACACTCCAGAACTTCGTATGTAATTAAGGTGATCTGCTGCTTTCCTAAGACCAAGATTTTGAAGCTTGGATGTTCCAAGTTAGCCTTCTAAGACTAACTATGAGGTGATTATCAGAAGTGCTGTTCACGCAGCAACCCCCTGCTATGATTTTCAAAAATGCAATCAAGAAGAGAATTTTTTTAATGGACTATTAGACTAAGATGGGGTAATTCACTCCTGACACAACTCTAATAATCTTAAATAGTATTAACCACTTGGAATGTCTCTGGGATTCAATATAAAAACACAGTAAAATAAAGTGGTGATCTCAAAAGAATGTAATCGTAAGGCCTATTTTCTTTAGGGTACTGCTGTTTCCTTTGCATATGATGAGGCACATGACAATTTTTCTCTAATACACATCATGTGACAAGAAATTGTGTTTTTCTTTGGGAGTTTTGCTAGTTATATCTTGTTTGTTAATTATCTCCATATATTCTATGTTTTGACCAACCCCACCAAACAATACATGATCCAGGAGTTTCACAAACACATTCCCATCAGTCTCAGGTGTTCAGCGAGATGCCTACAGTGCTAAATGGAATAGCACCAAAAAAGTCTATTACATTCTAGACCATGTATAGGTTACCACTCAAAAACCTTTATAGGCAGAGCATACCAATAACCTGATAATGAAGAGTGGAAACATAAGTGGCAGTTTTTCCACTGAGTTCTTGCATCAGAGTCCAGCCATAGATTAATCATATCAGTTGCAGTGCTGCAAACAATAAGTAAAGAAAACGTACATATGGCACGTAAGTGTCCTCTTTCTATACGTCTCATCTTCAGCCAAATTCAAGGCAGCAGTTTTCTCTTACCATGTATTTGCCTGACTGGGGTATTTGAGAGTTGATGTAATACAGATACTCCATGGCTGTGTCTACACTGGCACCCTTTTCCGTAAAAGGGATGCTAATGAGACACTTCGGAATTGCAAATTCCGCGGGGGATTTAAATATCCCCCGCAGCATTTGCATGAACATGGCTGCCGCTTTTTTCCGGCTCGGGGTTTTGCCGGAGAAAAGCGCCAGTCTAGACGGGATCTTGCGGAAAATAAGCCCTTTTCTGGAAGATCAAGGGAATAAGGGATCTTCCGAAAAAGGGCTTATTTTCCGCAAGATCCTGTCCAGACTGGCGCTTTTCTCCAGCAAAACCCCGAGCCGAAAAAAAGTGGCAGCCATGTTCATGCAAATGCCGCGGGGGATATTTAAATCCCCCGCGGAATTTGCAATTCCGAAGTATCTCATTAGCATCCCTTTTACGGAAAAGGGTGCCAGTGTAGACACAGCCCATTAGTATAAAAAGAATACTAAGACTGATATAGGTCCTGGCAAAGCTGGCCAAAAATCTGTTTTCTACAAGTCATCCTCACAGATCACCTTGATACGCACATGCTGTACAACAGATGACAAATATGGGCTAGTGTCAGAGGACCAGTGGTGGTCATTGTGCCCAAATCGGTTTGATTGTAGAGGGCTTTTGAATCCTTACGCTGTGGCTGCCAAGAAAGCATTTTGTTCCATTTTAGAACGTCTGTCAAGTCCTGATTAGCAGAACTGTGCTTGGCAGTGCATGTATTCAGGCAACCTTCCAGCATTTCCTCCTGCTATCAGAGTTTCTTCTTTATGGATCCACAGTTATGAAACCTGGACTGTTTGCCTCCATGTATTAGAATTGCATCAGATAGATGAAAATGCTAAGTCTCCTCTTGCTGAGTTTCGGATTTGTCCACTAATATTCTGGACTGTTGGAAGCTTTGGCCTTCAATCCATGACATGTACACATCACGTTCATGATCGGTAAAATCAAGTTCATGTGTACGGAAGAGGAGAATGGGTGGGTTATTAGTTGAGATTGTTCCCTGATAAAGATAGCATTCAAATGCTTCCTTCTCTTAAATGAGCAGTTATTCAATTAATACTGAAGAAACCATGTTTTCAAGTTGACAATCTTGCCAACTATAGCTGTTTCTAATAATTTTTTATGGAAAAAGTGATTGAAAACCTTGTAACAAAAAAAAACTTTCGTTCAATCTGCATTGAACTCCTTGACCCTTTCCAGTGCACCTTTCAGCTGAAGTACAGCATGGAAAATGAACTGATATCATTAGATGACGGTCTATCCATGAACAGAAGTCAGGTATCCATGCAGTTTCTTTTACATGTGTCGGCACCATCGAGTACCACTGACCACAATAGCAACTTGCCTGCAGTTGACTAAACTGGATGAAACTAAGGATGTTAAGTAGTGTTTAATTAACTAATTGAACAGTTGATGTGTTTCAAAGGGGCAGCGCTGCACAGAGCTGGGGATCAGCTAGGGACTCCCCAGCTGACCCTGAGGGTCCACATGGCGCTGCCATTTTGAAAGGCCGGGGCGGTATTTCAAAGTGGTAGTGCCTCAGAGCTCATCCCAGGCTGACCCGGGGCTCTGAGTAGTGCTGCCGCTTTGAAGTATCTTCATTTTCCCCCTCTTGCTGCCTCCATCTGATGGTTTGAATCAAGCGGTGGTTGAAGTCTCTGAACTACTTGGTCCAGACCAGGGACACTGTATCTTCTACTTTGCAGGTGAGTTCCTGACCCCTAAGCTATTCTGGGATGAAGCTCTCTCCTTCTCCCTCATATCCCACCCCTTTCAATACCACCTTGGACCCGAGAAATCTTTTCCAATAACAGTTTAGTTAAAACTGATATGTTCCTGTAAAAAGTTTTGGTTTAGATTAATCCATGCTTTCTAATGAAAAACCTTTACTCAAAAATTTCCTCACCAAGCTAGGGAACAAATAAAAACGAAGATACTCTCACACTTGCTTGCCTGAACTACCACATCTGGTTCTAAAGTCAAAACTGAGAACAGTTTTGAAACTTCCTGAGTTCTGGGGGTTGAGAATGTGCAAGGAACCTTATAATCTCCCCTTTGTGATAGGAGACATAACAACTCCGAACCTATGATCTATTCTGCATGCATTCTATAACAAATTGAAACGACTGTCCTAAAGCTTTTCAGCCTCTTAACTTTCAGATAAATAATCATGTCCCCGCTGATTCCTACTGTGGAGAAAGGATTTGGGAAGAGAATAGCCATCCCTATGGATACCAAAATAAAGGACTTATTCACAAAAGAAATATGGACACTTTCTGCTCATTTCAAAATCCTTTAATGTTGGCCTGTACTTTAAAGCCATGACTCTTCTACATACTGCAACGACAGCTTTGCTATGTGTCTAGAATTATGAAAAGCTACATCATAGCAACCACCAAATCTTATATTGAAGCACTTTCCCCCCCTCTTATCTATAGTTCTGTGCTACAAAGTCAATTATTCCTGTATATGTAAACAGCTCTACATCCAAGGCCGTTATTTATGTTACATAAAATCATTAGGAAGGTGAATCACATTTCAAAGACTTTTTTTTAATGGAAACAAAATTGTGGGTTTCACACTAATACTACGACAATACATGAAAAATGATCAGTCAACTTCTGTTAATAAAGAAAAGCTTGACAGAGTATGAGAGATTGATTTTTAAGTGAGTGAGAGAGAGAGAGAGAGAGAGAATGTGGCACTAATAAAATAACATTTC